TTCACATATTATCATTATTACAGAATCACAGTTGCATTGCTGATTACTTTCGTTTTTTCTTCCTATCTAGGCAGCTCTGATTAAGACTTCGTCTGACGCACGCCCACGAGTAATTGGCAAAAACTGTTGCGAATTGCTCTTTGAGATTTTGCATTATTGCATCAGGAACGGTGGTTCTTTAATAAGAAATAAAGATATATATAAAAAAAAATCATAGAAATCAGGCAATTAATCATTAATTAAAAATTTAAAACCCGTCCCGCCCTTTAACTCATCGCAGACACAAGTGTGGGGGTGGGATTATTACCCCCTGACAAAATTTTTAAATTATTTAAAGAGTATGACTAAGTAAAAAGTAAAAACACTTGAAATTTTAGCTACTTGCTCCAAATATTTAGGCGAATTTAAGTAAAAAAAAATTCATTTTAAATGCCTTATCTGAGCATATTAGTCAAATCCATGGATCGATTCGGTCAAACGAATGACTGGTCAAAAATTTAAATTTTGAATGCTGGCTTTTCTTTGTAATCCAAAAAGCTTTTTTTTATACTTACATATTTATAATTATTTCAATAAATGAAATATGAGAAGTCCAAGTTCCTACTTTTAGAATCTGTATAAGTTTAGATCCAATAAGTTAAACTAATTGATCCCAAATTTTCAAAATATGTTAAGAAAAATGGAAAATTTAATAAAAACCCAAGCACTGAAAGTATGATTTTCTAGATAACCCCCTCCCACCCTGTGCCAACAACTTATAAAAAATAAATGAGCCTTAAAGCTGCTGCCCAATAACATTACCTACATAAAAATGCCCTAATTAAAAAACCTACCTATCAGCCTTTCCATGAGGCTCAAAAATGTGACTTGTCATATAATCTGGTCCGAATTTGCATTTGATGTAATCGATTGCAAATGAATTTGCATTCGACCTGTTCCAACTGTCTATACGTTTGCTTTGCCCAGCTGCATTAACAAATGTAGCCTATAAATATTTGAAACTTATTAGAAAACTATTTGGCCAAAATTGCAAAAAATAAGACAACAAAATTTAATTTCAGACAAAAATTGATTGGCACAACTGTTGATCTACTTACATCACTATTAATTGCTTGATTGGCTAAGCCTTCATTATTGAGCAGATTGACTGTCTCCCGCTGCAACTGCTGAATTGACCTTAAAAGACGATTAGTCTCTTTACCAGTTCTAATGAGCTCACCTATATAATATAATTTACAATTAAAAAAAAACATAAAAACTACCAGAATGATCATCACAATAATTTGATAAAATCATAAAAATTTGATGAAATCATAAAAAAAAACACCTTAGTTTGGTTATTGATAGCTGCAACTGAAACAAATGCAAAAAAAATGAATGTAAAAAAAATTACTTATGAATTAAATAGACAACAAAGCTTAAATTTATCAAGTGTAAGAATATATGACAAATTAGCATTAATCGGCAAGGCATGGTGTATTGTAACTTTATCTTAGCCATACAGTAAATGTAAACATAAACAGCAATGTTAATTATTAAGGCTAATAACGTACTAATATCTGAAGATGAAGCTGATAGAGGCACAACATCATGTTCTGTAATAAAAAAAATATACATTGATAATAATACTATCTAATTCTATTGTATTACATCCCCAAACAGGAACTCCTTTATTAATTAATTTGTATAGTAGTTTTGAAATTTGGCATCCTGTACCAAAAGGTATTTCAAACTTTTGCTTATCTAGTATTTAAAATTTACTATTTAAATTTGTAGTATTTAAAAAGATACCATGGTGTTGATTTGATGGACCAGCTAGTTAGGGGGTTTCCACTAAAATAGCAAAAAGTGAGCTAATTTTAATTCCTTATATTTAAGCAGAAAGGATATGTTTGTTAACTAATGTATCCTTATATCTCATATCTCTTGTGTTGACATACACAGAAGATCATATCTCCCATCACATAATGTAATGGGTGAGAAGTTACACAATGTACTAGCACAAGTAATCAAATAGGTGTTAAAAACTAACCAGTTTTTTTTATATAAGCAATGAGCTGATTGAAATGGAGCACCAGTATGTTGGAGCTTTGCTGAAATAAAAAAAAATGATAAAGCTTAAAGTAGAACAGAATTTTAGAAAACAATTTACCATCCATTTTTGAATAGATTTATTTGTCAATACAAAATGGTGGAGACTTGATTTAAGGCTTGAACATGGTAAATGTCTTATATCTAGAATAATTGGTCAACTTATCATATTTCAACATACTCTGTATGAACAACTTACTCTGTATAAACAAACTTCTAATTAAACTATACAATGTCTTTTACCAAGTTAAGTGAAATATAGTATGTTTTTGATAAGTATAAATCAGTTAGTTACAATTAGCAACTTTGTATATATCTTATATAACTTTTAATTTAAATAAATGAAAACAATAAATTAATAACAATAATCTGTAAAACTATCAAAATTCAGTTATATTCTGTTTTTCTGAAATTGCAGAACAATGTTAATCTACCAATGCATATATGCATTATATAGGCATATATGCATTATATAAACTAACTTTTTAGAATGACATCTTCAGCTTCAAGATTCCTTTTTTCGGCAGGTGTAGATTCTACAAAAAACAATTATTTGATAATATAGATTAAATAGAAAATAGATAGTTAAAAGTTATATAAAATATACTATAGGAAATAATAACATGCCTGTGGTTAAACCAAATTGCATTTCTAAATCTCCAAGAAGTGAATTTTCTTTATTGACTCTAGCTACTAAAATGAAATAATGAACTATTAACACAATCATAGATGTATTTAAAAAGAAAATACTTTTAGAAAATAAAACTAGATAACTTTAACATACAGGAGTCTGCAGATAAACCCCAATCTTGATCTTCATCAGAATCAGCAGATGATTGCCTAGGAGATGTTTTGGAGACATTGATGACAGGAGATGTTTTAGAAGTATGGAGACTTTTAGAAGTAACGAGCTACATTTAAATAATGACCCCTTTTATGTAATTATTGTTCATTTAATAGGAATATTATAGAAAACAAATACCTAACTAAAAATCGGTAGTTTCAGGCCTTGTTTTGAACGATAAGCGTAGAGATTCCCCCCTATTTTTGAGTTAGAGCAATTTTTTTTTGTTAATTTATTAGAATTAATAAAAAAATAAGTCTTCGCTGAAATTGCTTGATGCTTACAATCACTCAACACGTACATAAATAGCTTTAAAACAAGGCCTGTATTTTATAATATAAGTTCATCTATAAAAAGAGATATAACTGAAAATATAATAACAAAAAACTTTTGGAAAAAAACTGAAATAGATTATTTCTTCATTCAGCTAAGTCTCATTCGTTTACTGTATCTGTCCCTCCATGCTCTAAGAACTTTTATTCATCTAGTTTTTTTCCCCGCACTTCAATCCTTTAGAACTCTCTCCCATCTTTATGTTTTCTTGACTCATACAACTTTCAACTTTTCAAGTCTTTTGTCAACCGTTTCCTTGCTCTATAACTCTGTTCTTTTTTTTTTCTAGCAACTCCCAACTTAATTGTGGTTGCTTGCAGCCTTGTTGGGAGTGAATGCAAATAAAAAAAAAAAAAATATATTCATAAGACTAAAATGTGAATGAAAAAATACCTTGGCACTGTCATCTTTAAATATGGTGTCCGTAGAAACACCATCACTCGCATACTTTTCCAAATCTTTCATTTTGGCTTTTAAATCTTTCTCAGAACCCCTAGCATAAAGCTTGACTTCATAGTTGATGTCATTGACTTTTAAAGTTACAACATCACCCTTAAATAAAGAAATAAAACAATGTCAAGATGTTAAGATTGCTTTTGTTCATAAAACAATAAGTACAAGTATAAAACATACTTTCCTCAGCCACATTCTCTTATGAAGAGATATTGGTCTCATAACTGTAGAGCTAAAGTAAACAGGCTCTAGGAACTCTTTCAGTCCTAAGAACCAAAAAAGGAAGAAGTCGGTTGACCCTTCTTGTCCTGGGTACAAACTCATTGTTTTTTTTTGCTAAAAGTTACGATAACAAAAATTTTTTAACAAATGACCCAGTCACAGACACTTACATAAATATATATGTATGTTATAATCTTACAATTATTTACATTTATATCAGTTACATTACATTTATAATATAACAGTCACTAACATACAGAGTAAAACAGGGTAAAATAAAATAGCGAGTAGAATGAAATAGTTATGACAATGTTTATTCTTTCGTTCTTAATTATTAAATAATTTGTTTGCAAATATATTTAGATTATGTTGTAGAGAATATTATTGTGAGTAAGATTATATAAAATTTTATTTTTAATAAGTTGTTTTGTTAAGTTGTGCACACAGATTTGCGTATTTAAACCTCCCCAAACGAAAATAATTGAGTAAAATGGAATAAAATTATTTTTAATAAAATAATGTTTTATTAAAAACTTAAAAAAAAAAATTATTTGATTTTAATATATTTTAATACAGCTCTGGAATTATATTCTCTGCAACATTAAAAAAAAAAATAAATAAATAAAAAAATTCTTTTTTTCCTGCTAAAAAATAAAATTAAAATGCTTAACTATTTCATTTGACCCTTTTTTACTCTATGTATGTTATAATCTTATAATATTACAATCATTTAATATCATCTAAGTTGTCATTAGTAAACATTTGAACAATCAATCATTAAGATGAAAAACAAATACAAATTATAAAATAACAATATTAAAATGTATATATTTTAATTAAGTACGAATTATTCGTGTTCAAATACAGATAAAATAGGAACAACAATATGTACATTGACCTTATTATGAACAGGGAATAACAGACACCAAGTGATAAATGATGCAATTGGAATTATATGAACCTCGTCTGTTTCCATTACACTAATAAAAGCCTCAGAAATATAAGAACAAATTCTTACTTCTGCAGGTGATAGGTTAACAAAATTAAAAAGATCAATAACAGTATTTACAGGTTTTAAGACAGAAACATTCGCAATACTTACTTCACCATGTGAAAATGACAGAATTTTACCATACCTAAAATAATTATGTTCACAATATTGCACAATATAGCTAACTAAACAGTGTCTTTTGTTATACTGTAATGAATGTTAGCATTGATTATTGATTATAACTCTTTGAGCATCTAAAATCTGAGTTTTATTGTATGACAAAGAAGTCAAGTTAGTTACATTCTTTAACTTAGTTAAAAGAGGTGGAGAAAGATTTGCATTTTTTATGTAGGTCGATATTGATTTTACTAATGCAATCTTTGAACAAATTTGCAACAAATGACCTTTTGTACCTGTCATATAAGTTTTCATTAAATGATTTTTTGACTCAAAACTAAACATGGAAAAATAAGAAAGAGCCCCAAACTTAGAAACTTGCCTAGGAATATGTGATAATAAGTGTACATTTATTGTCGCAAAATTAGAAGGATACAAAACTCATATGTGAATAAAAATACTGAACACAAGTTTTCAACTTATCAATCAAATTCCGTGAATTTATTTTGTTAGCAAAATGACATGACATAATTAGAGACATAAAATGAATGCAATGACCTTGAGGCAAATGAAATAAAAGTAAGGGAACAGAATAATAAGCAAGCATATGTTTGAAGTCATGTGCTTTCCACATTTTTAAATCTGTTAAAGGTGGAGACCTTGAAAAATCATGCGGTAAGGATATAGTTTGCAAGCATGTTTTAAAAATGTGTGTATTAACTCTGCGACCTAAAAAAAAGAGTTTAGTACCATATTTAGGGTCAAAAAATGAGCTGAGTAAAGTTGAAGTTATATTTTCATACCATCTATTAAAATATTATCTGGCACTACAATATAATCTGTCAGTGAGCACTGGCCTTTAATTCCAAAAATAGGTTTCTTAACCTGTCTAACAGAGTTCGATCTACTTGCTAATAATGCAATACTACTAAACTCAATTGATGTAACAATATCTGCAGGCTCATATGGGTACACTTGTGCTTTGCCTTGACCAGATTCGATGTGTCTACCAGGATGTTTTACAAAACAGGCATTTAATCTCTCCATTGAACTGCATAACATTCAAAAAATGTGCTTGAGCAGGTAAATCAAATACAGCAGCATAAGGATGGATGATCACAGTCAACCCGGATGGAAGAACAACTTCTTGTCTAAATCTAAACTTTTTAAAAATAGAGGGCATCAAAGAATACCAATTAGGTTTACCAGTGCATCTACAAATGACTAAAAACAAAGAATTTTCTATACGAGACCTATTATTGTTTGGCAAGTCAAGTAAAGTTGCCTGCAATGGCCAAAATGATGATTTCTTTTTAAAATAAGGGTTTGTACCATCTGCAGATAAAAGTAAATGTAAATTTAAAATATCAGATGTTAATGTAGGAGCCAAACTTATAACATCCCCAGCACTAACTAGTTCATGTCGATATTGAATAATCATAGGCTTATAAACACTTAAAATTAGATCTAACTGCATATGTAGATTAAACACCACAAACTCATCTGTACTGTTAAGCTCTGTAGGTATTGGTAGATCAAACATTGAAGAATAATCATACACATTTTTCTGAATAAAACTTGCAATAGACTTACAGGATGTAGGAATATTTTCAATAAAGAATGCCATCTAAAAAAATGAATATAAAATATATGCTATATGTTTATCAAATATTTAAATGTATCTTACAAGTTAATCAAGCAAATAAAAATATGATTTTCACTTATATATATGAGAAATTGTCAGCATGTTTAGATTACGGCAGACATGCTATCTATTTCTTGCTAGATACATAACTAAGTATTTCTTCCTACCATATAGCTACACCTTCTCTTATAGTATGCTTTCAGTGATGTATCCAGAAATTTTTTGGGCATACCGGTCTAAAAATCCTGTCTATCTTAATAGGTTGTTGTTTTTTTATTTAAACACAAGTTTTAATATAACTATTTTTTTTTAATTAAGCTTTTTCTATGTAAAAATGTTAACAATTAACCAAAATAGTGATACATTTATTACAAAATGACGGCTTTAACGCCAACGTCAATTCGCTGCTAGTTTTCATTTACTCGCTTTATTCGCTTATTAATATATAGAATATTATTTCATATACTAGCGTTAATTATAACATTTAATAAACATTTGTATGTTTCTTTTATACAGACTTTAAAAGATTTATTGCAAAGCGTATTTATTGCATAACAAGGTCAAATCGTTCAAAATTTTATTTAATTCATTCAAATCAAGTTTTTTGGCGCGATTATTATTATGTTATTATGTTTTAAAAACTTTTATTTGTTTTATTATTTAAAATATTTTTAATGCAATTTTACTGTTATTTGAAATTAAAAAGTTTAAAGCTTATATAATTTAATCGCTTTGAAGTTAGTGTATTTTTTAAACGTTAAATTTTTAATCAAAAAATGCTGAGCGTTTCAAATTTAAATCCAATCAACCCATGTGTTTTATATTTTAATCTAGTTGTAACATGTTCCATATTTTATAAAGCATTCAAATTGACTTAAAATATATTTAAAATGTGTTTTAAAAGTCGTTTTTCAAATGTTGCTTTTTCTAAAGGATATTACCAACATAACAAATTTTATTATCATAATTATCATAACAAATTTTCTCACAAAACAGCAGACAATAAGTAATAAAAAATTGTTTTATTTTATTTTAGTGGGTGCAAATATAAAATTGTTTTAAATTGAGTTTGGACTAAAATTTGGGGGCCTATTACGGTATACAAGTATCAAAATCGGCCTCGATACGTCGCTGCTTTGAAAAATCAAACACCTAATACCTAATCAATCAATAACAAATTGACATTTTTTATATCAATTTGTTATTGAATAATTTATCAATAACAAATCGACATTTATTATATCAATTTGTAATCATTCATTTCTATTGATTGATTACATTATATACCTATATTTAATGACATGCTAAATATAAGATAAAAATAAGATTACAAATAAAGGTCATTGTTTCAATGGCTTGCGTTACAACCATCAACATATGCAGTGGTTTTGAGTATGAAAGCCATAATAATTCTCATTCTTAAGACTCAAATAATTCAGTGTAAAAGTAGCATAAAAATATAATATTATATTAATATATATAATATATAATAATATATAAATATATTATTATATTAATACCATATAAAAGTAGCATACTACCATTTAAAAAAAAAAAATGAAAGTCAAAGCCAGTCTAATTTTGTGATATAACATTTTCCACATTTACGAAATTTATAAACATAATATTTTCTCCATAGCTACACATACTATTTAAATACTAAAGAAGGTTTTGAATACCTGAAACAATTTAATCACTCCTTCAATTGAACTGTTGGTAATGCCGGACTGAACTGCATGAAGTGCAATTGAGGCGATAAAAAGTTCTCTTGTCATGCTTGTTATTTCTAACTTTTGACTGGCACAAATGTTACTTAAATCATCACTGAAATCTTCTTTAGTATTGACATCGACATCACTGACACTGGTTTCAAAAGGTTCTCGGCTAAGTTGTGCTACTTCTTCATCCAAAGTTCTGAATTCTTCGTCACTTTCAGTATCAGTCTTGTTATATTCATCAATATGTCTATAAGAGCGATTTTTAGAACTACGTGCAGATGCCATATTCTATAAGACAGTAAGCTAGTAAAAAACTTGTTTTTCTGGAGTTAAACACGCACATGTTTAAGAGTAAAACACGCACATGTTTAAGAGTAAAACACACACATGTTTAAGAGAAAGCCGGAATACTAAAAAAAAGTAAAACCTTATGTGTATACTATAGATTATACATACAACGTAAAAAAATAAGGAGAATTAAGGAGAAAGTCATTACTTTCTTCACATAATCTTTCTTTTTAAATAGATAGGAAAACATCAAAAAAATATAGGATATATTGCATATACAATATATAAATTTTTTAAGAATTTTAAGAATAATCAAATAAATAACTTTGCTTCTTTATCAATTAATACTTTATTTAAGTAAATGCATTCACTTAAAAAAAATTTTCTAGAAGATAAAAAATAAAATAAGAAGAAATTAAGGAGAGATGACAATTTTCCATGCTTTTTCAGGTCATTTAAGGACTTTTAAGGAAGATTTAATATTAAAAGAATATCAAGGTTTTTGAGGTGGAGTGGAAACCCTGACATAAGTTGCATTCAGGCCTTCTCTGAAACATTTTAAATTTAATAATATCGTGTTAAAAATACAACAAATTTTCATACTTTAAATATATATATATATATATATATATATATATATATATATATATATATATATATATATATATATATATATATATATATATATATATATATATATAAATATATATATATATATATATATATATATATATATATATATATATATATATATATATATATATATATATATATATATATATATATATAT